TACAAAAAGTTTTGGATTTTGGAGCACTTCAGCTACCAGATTTTTGTATTAGAAATACTCAACCTATAATAGTGTGGTAGCTAAGAGGATAAACTTTAGAGCCAGTTTATGTAGCTTACAAACTTGTCTCTACCACTTACTGAGACCTCAGACAAATGAAAACCTACCTCATGGGATCTAGTGAGTTTTTATGGTAAAGTAATTAAAACAGTGCTTGGCACAGTGTAAGCAGTACAGAGGTGTTAGTTGGCTGTCATTATTATTATTATCACCACCTATAATGTTCAATAGTTATAGCCCTCTGTGTAGCTCTGCCTCATTAAGGATGGCGAATGTGTGCATGGGATATGTAACGGGGAGAGGTCAAAGTCCTGAGAAACAAGTATATTTAGAAACTTTTTGAGGTCCTGAGGAAAGAGAAGATAAAAATCTAAAATCATCTTTATACAACAAATATGTATTAAACGACAGAATCACATTTTTCATAAAGGTGCCTCCGTAATGATGTATTATCTGACCTAAGAATAGGGCTCTGAAGATATGAGCTGGAATTACTGTGAACTGGAGTTCCAGGCTACCCCAGGGAATGCCCAGGGTCTAACTCTTAGGGTATTGCCAGAGTCTAGGGAGAAGGCCTGTTTCAAGTCTCCAGCAAAACCATCTTTGTCATTGCTTTTCATTAGAAAAGTGGTTTTATTTTTCAAATCCTAAACTAGAACATGAGATCTGACAAAAATAAGTATATATATGTAGAATTTTAAGATGTGGGGATATGTAATTCTGATAAGAAGTACACAGTTGTTGTCTCATAATACTTTAGGTGCTTGAAACATTGCAGAATTACAACTGGGCTACTTCAGAATGGGTCACGGTAGATTTCATTATATGACCATGGTACTTCTTCATTCCCGTATCACCATTTCCCCCCACAATATCAACCTTTATAAAAAAGGAGATCCTGTATTCTCCCAACACACATGTTATCAAATGCAATTTGCAATATTTTTTTAAAATGTACTCTAACGCTAAAAAATTATTCTTTGAATTTTAGAATTCTTACCATATTGGAATCATCATGCATTTTCTTGCCAATAATTCTAGGGCATAGTGGGTTGCTGGTGCTGCAGACTCTCCCAGTACTGTGCCCACACAGACAGCCAGCTCCAGTTCGTTTCCACGAATCAGGTATGCCATAGCAAGCTTGCTCAATAAGAAAATAATGTCTTCAGTTGCATAGATGCTGGGTAGGATCATCATTTCCCTCCAAGCTCATAAAGTAGATAAAGTAGTATTAACCTATAAATCAATTATTCTTATAAAATATTGATTGTAATATTTCTATAAAGTACCTATGTAAGAGTAACTGCAAGCTTCAGATGGAAAAGCTAATGAGACATACAGAAAATTTTATCAGGACAGAATTTAAGAGTTTAGAATCATTGGTCCTATTTTTATAATTAATAACACTCTATAATATCCTTAACATGTCATTCATTCTCCCTATCAGAAAAAAAGTAAGTTTTTAGAGGCTTCAAGATTATACAACAATTATTGATTATTCCCTAAAGCTGACACATCTAAGGATAAATGCAAAATAAAATTTATACCTTTATTTAATATTTTCCTTATTACATTAATGGGTCAAGTGGAAAATACCTTAAAATATAACTTATGAAGAATATATTAAAGTACACTTAAAAATAAGTGCTTTCATTTGTATTAGTTCTTGAAATCCTAACAACTACTTTTGAAATGTAAGGTAAGTATTCATATTTTCATTTTAGAGGACATTTGAGACTTTGCGAGGTTAAGTGACATGCCCAAAGTCACTGTGACAGAAACAGGACTCAAACTCAGATATTTTGGATCCAAGTCCAGAGATTTTTCCCTTTACCATACTGCTGCTTCTCACAGATGATAAAATGTTTAAAACAAGGTTGTTACAAATATGTATCTTGTGATAAAAATGAAACAGAAGAGCTCATAGTCTGTAGAGTTTATGTGCACTTATTAGGCATGTAATTACTCAATTACGCAGGCTTGGGAAGCACATGCAAAACCAGACTTCACACAGAAAGTCACCATATCTTTTCTCCTCAAACACAAGGACATATCTACAGAGCTTTGCATTCACATAAACCAATTTGAAATGTTGTACCTCAATGTTATCTACAGCTAGATGACAACATGCGGCTAGTACTGCTCGACCATCCTGAAAATACCATTCTGCCAGTTCTTTACTAACTTTGTGCAGGAGTCTGGAAAGAAAAAAAGTATATATGCTATATAAATGCAAGCATTCCATCACAAAACAAAATCAATGCCCTTCTATAAGGGTGATTAAGGGACCAAATATGATTTAGTTTGATATCCTTGATTTAGGTACAAAGCCTTATTTTTTGAAAAAAAAAAAAAGCAGCAAAGCAGTCATTCCAAGTATATGATCTCTCCACCCCCACAACTGTCAGATGAAAAACCTAAATTTCAAAACTTACCATCCTGCACTGAATAATTTTATTGGGTATATATTCAGCAATAGGGGCATTTAACCTTAGAGGAATTATGAGTTGAACTGCGCTTTTTCAAAATTCAGGTGATGTCAAAAATATGGCTAGGGTTATGTTAGATCTTTAAAATGCCAAGTTTAGAAGTGGCAGAGAACATCAGTAGAGATAAAGAAAAGAATGTGTTATTCCCAAAACATTATTTGCTTAACATTTCATGGTCCTTTTCTACTTGATGAATGTCATAAGAGTTTAAATATCTTATTTTTTTTTTAGGGCAATAATAGGAGCCAATAGAAGGGGTGGGAGAAGATAGACTATCAGATTTAAAAAAGGTAAAAAGGCTGAAAATTCTAATTTCTATTTCTTTTTAAAAACAACTATTTGGATTTCTTCCTTAAAAGAGGACTAAATGTTACTCTAGACACTAATACTGGGTCATGGGATTGTGAGCTACATTACCACGATGTTGTACCTCTTGACTTTATAGGGAAACTTCACTAAGCAGCCCACCTTACTTTCACAAATGGTCCTCCCCAACAGGTTTGATCAGTTTTTAAGTATTTAGGTGCTTTACTTGCAATCTCTCTACTGAAATGCATTTTGCTTCTCTGAAAGCTATATAAAATGTGTGTAGGAGGCATCTCTATGCCTGACATTCCCCTATTCCTCTAGGGATGGATGCTGTGATGGACCTAGATCATGGTGAGAAACGCAGTTGAGGACATGAGTCAGCCAAGTCCTCAGTATACAAAGAAAGATTAACCCTTCCTGGTATGTAACTCCTCAAAAACTCCTACAGGGAAACCAACTATAAAAAATACTGACCCAAAACAAAGAACAAATCACTCACTCATTAAAGTCTTCCTTGTAGATGTCACCAGAATATGAAGCTCCTTTTGGTGTAGAAACATGAATGGTTTGCATATTTCCCTCACACGCAGCCTAGAATTTAATTAAATATTTAATTAATCTTTAGCTGATTGTTGATAACTGACCAACTTCAGAATATTATTTTCGAGCAAAGTACACAAATCATGGTTGAAATTTATAGTATATTTGGAGATAGCCTTAAAATTTGAAAAGAAATCAAATGTCAACACCATTGTGAGTACCAAAAT